TAAGGATTATCTCTTAAGACTTTGATTTTTTATTTGCTTTCAAACTGCGTGTGCTCATCGTGATTAGCTTAAATTATACTCAATTAATTAACAATAATACTAAAAATTGATAATTGATTGTCTTCCAACTGTCAATAAAATTTGCAATGAATATTTTTTGTTACACAAATAGAATATTTCATTTACGATCCCATTATTATCATTTAAATATATTCCACGATTTTTGTAGGGAAAATGAACTTTTCTCTTTATTATAAAAAAGTAAAAGTTTTATTAGCTTATATAATAGAAAAATATATAAGTCTATAACTGAAAATGGACACCCTAACTTAGAATTAATCAAATACTAAAACTTTTCACACTCCTACAATATAAAAGTATGTCCAAGCATCCTTTTTTTTTTTAATTAATTAAAAAAATTCAGACGTACCAGAGAAATAGGAAAATAAGCAAAGGATACGATGGACTCAATGCATATCACCAGGTAAAAAGAGAGCTACGAAAAATGTTTACAAGAAAAAATCACACTTTATTACCAACTTATGGTAAGGGACAAGTAACACACTTAACGACAATAACTTATTTATACCACTTATAGTAGACATTCAAAATTATATTCCATTATCACATATGAGATTAATTAATTATTGTTTATATTTGAAAATATTCCATGATTTAGGTAGAGAAATTGAAAAAATGTGATTATTATAAATTATTAAATTTATTATCTTATAATAGATTTTATAAAATTCAATAACTGAAGATGGACACTCTAACTTAGGATTAATCATATACTAAAGCTTTCCACCCTCCTAAAACAAAAAAAAAAGTATGTCCTAGCATCTTTAATTGTGCTCAAAAGTAAATTAAAAGCATCTTCAAAAGCATCATTTTTTCTCTAATTTTAACCACCAAAAGTGGCAAGTAATTAACGATTAAGACAAATAATAATAATAATTGAAGGGACTTGGCATGAGCTCAAAATTAAAGTAAAATAAAAAAAAAAATTACCTCGTGAAGAGGCGGGGAGTTCAAAGTAAAAGCATAAAAAATTACACTTCCCATGCACGAATCATACTCATCGTTTTCATATGTCGAGTGTAGTCTTTCTTGGACTTTTGGCTTCTATCTTCAAATTCGTTATTTGAAGGAGATTTCGTAACACAATTAGTGAAAGTCCATAGATTCATTATATACTCTCCATGAATGTATTTCCAAAAGTGCTTCGATATTTTCTCTTATGCTTGGATGATAAGAGAAAAATGTTACCTTCAATCCGTTCTCTTTACTAACATTCAAAATTTAATTTCAAAAAAGTTACTTTTAACCATAATCAAGAATTCTAGAATTAGAATCCATGTCATCAACTCGCATGATGCCATATCATTTCATACTTCCAACAATCGGTAACTCCCAACCACATAAAACCGCACTAAAACAATAAAGAGATCCCAATTATCTCTCTCTCCCTCCCTCCCACACACACAAGTAAACTAACTTTTCTTATTTCTTAAGCACCTTCTTGAGATAAACTGGCCGGAAAAAATGGCCTCTACATGCATCTCAAACTGTATTAACGATGCCCGTGTTCCGGTTAGAGCCACCTACGTGAACCTCTTCAAGTGGCCGGAATCCGATGCCGAGTTTGTACGATCAGTGAGCTCCAAAACCCACCGGAATGGCCCAAGTAGCGACGGAGGAAGCACCGCATACGGTCGTCCCCGGGTGGTGGACAGTATTTCATGCAGACAATTATATTTAAGAAGCTACACTTTCTCAAGGGAAGAAGATTATAAACATGACGAGAAGACCATAAAGTGCCTTGGAAGAGGAAAAGAGAAGTCTGCAGTGGACAATAAAAGAAAAAGAAAATCTCGTGGCCGTGGCGGCGATCGAAGCGGCAAAAGTGGTGCAGGAAGGAGGTATTACAAAGGGTTTAGAAGGGCTAAAGCAGTTTCATGCGCTGCCTTGGTTTCCATTTTCCGGAGGTTGCTATCTTGCACCACCGAGGTCGATGTTGCCAATTAATTCGTAATTATATTTTCTTCTTCATTTTTATATAATTATGACATTTTCCTTTTCTTAAGGTTTTAATTATAAAAAGGAAGTTTATAACGTTATTCACTTCTATAATATGTGTATGTATTGATGTTTTTTGACTTTCGTGAGAGAATAATTTACCGAGTTTTTTCCTTTTTCCTTTTATTTTTTATTTTAAATTTATTTTTAGTTTAAATTTTAAATTTGCTCGTTAATCTTCTTATTCCCTCTCTATTAAATTTATGAAGAGAGAAATAAATTATTAAATTACTAATTTCATTGCTGTACACGATGAAGTTGGTTGTTGAATACTTGTATATGACGTGTTAAATATCGATTCGAGATTAAAATGTTGTACACGGTCATATTAATCACTTAACACTTGTATGTACCATGTCAAAATACGCGTATTCCGCAATAAATTGAAAACGAAATAATTAAATGTTGCAAGTACGTGTTTGTAATTAATACCACATAGTCAACCATTGGTAGTTTGGTACTTTGACATTAAATTGTATTGTGAAACGATGAATACATTAGCCTCGCGTGGTGATATTCATGCAATGTAGTAAACACTAATTTCGTAGACGCACCCCCATTTTCACATCGTTAGATTATTAAATTGCAGTATGTAACGACACTGATCATTAAATATTTATACACATCACGTGTAAAATGCATAACAATTAAAAGTAAATTGATACACGCAACTACATTAAATACTTGTGTGTGACGTGCATGTCAACTACATTCGTTATAGAACAAATGGATGAAGATGAAATAAAATTTCACAACTACTTATTGGGTGAAAAAGATTGATGAAAGTTTCCAGTTTGTCACTTTCATATTATTCTCCAATATCCGCCACAAACTAAAGTAGTTGAAAGTTGATATCTTTCTATATATAAAAAGGCTCAATACTTTTTAATCACCTTTTCATATATTTTTTATAAAGTCAAAATATTAATGTATTTAATTTTATTTTTTTACTTAAAGTTTGAAAAAAGTTAATGAAATAATGAAATATTAAACTATCTCAAAAAAACTTTGTAAAACAAGGGTTAGATATGAACATAATAAAGATAAACCACATATTCCTAATAGCTAGTGATGACATTTTATCTTGAATCTGTAAGGCCAACAAGTTCAAAAGAATAATTCAATCAAATTAGGGCTCGCAAAGCAATGAAATTTCACTTCTCAATCCGTCAAACGAAACTCCATCTTGCGAATGCATGTTAAAAATAAAATCTCACACTGATTAAATATAAATAAAACAAACAACATACATGAGTTTAGATTCTTCTTAAACATGTTGAACTTTCGAGAAAAAAAACGTTTCATCACATTCGACAACTTATTTTTTAAGAAATCGGAATGTCTCCCTCTTTTAACGTATTATACTAAAATCGCATCACTCTTTATAATCAGAATACCTTTGACATTCTATCACGACAAGTATGTCGAAATGCATAATTTATAATAATTTTTAAGTTTGAAGAGGATTGATGATCAAGTGGGAAATATGATGAGAAGAAGAAGTAAACCATAAGCAAAGAAGAAAAAGGCATAGGCATGCGCCAAAGAACAGAGGATAGTGATAAAGTTAAACCTGCATGTAATTATGGAACTTACAATGTGGGTACTAGTTGGGTTCATCGCCATCATATTCACCATTCTCTTGTTGTTTTACTTACTTAATTATATGATGACAAGTGCAATGAGCTGGTCGTCTTTTATATAGAGCTATTGAAATAGCGCGTCAGATTATAATTGAACACTTTTATCGCTCTATGAGTAGACAATTTCGAGGAAACACTATCAAATTATGATTTGATATTTTATTATAACAAAGAAAACCTAAGTTATATTATTCATAATAGCTACGTAAATTATAGTTTATCATTACATTTATAGTGTTCTTCACGACTGCAACAAAATATGGTAATTTCATTTCAGGTGGGTAACTAAATTTAAATTGTTTTCAATTAAGAAAACTTTGTGCAATTTATCCACCTCCATTAATGATAACTGATGACGTGGCAGTAAAAAATGATAGTTACTACACAAAATTACGGTTGGAAAAAATGAGGTGATGGCTGACTTTGACGTAAGTTTTGAGTGGAACCCGTTTGCTTATTTTGAAAGATCGACATTGATTTGTGTTCTCCTCCGCGAGAATATCAAAATCGTGTATTTACTTGCCAACAACGAAGCTCGGGTGAATGAGAAATTGGAATTCAAAATGGACCTTTTGATTATGATTTATGTTAGAGGGAAAACTAAATTTGAGTTTATCCCAAATAAGAAGTTTGTGAAAGCAAGAACCATTTTATATATGGCTACACTTTGGAATTGTGTAATCATGTGTAGCATAGATGTTTTTTCCACGTGCGTGCACATGGGGGTGCAAATCACGAACCGAAATAGGTTTCAGATCTTGAACTTGTGTCCGGGCGCGACCTGCGTACACGAATGTCGGATCGAAATGACCAAAAAATGACTCATTAGGATGGCCTACGTAAGTTCAATTTTTTTTTGCTTTCAACAACTGACTTTTGGTTTCTAAAACTGTTAAAACTCAAATGATTATTGCCATTGACGTTTGAAACTACAATGGTTATTGTCATTGAGTTAATGAACATATTTAACTTGTCATTACTAGGGTTAAGTTTATATGAAGCCTCGTTTTTCCACTGTTCTAGATATGAAGAATACACCGTCTACATTATAGTTCCAAAACACACGAAAGTATCCTCTGTTTGCATACATAATTTACTATTTGTCAAGGTCTTAGTGGTGATATTGTTCAGATATTGAATCAGTTCGTCGGAGTAGAATAAGCACCTACGGTGAGGGGCGAATTTGTTTTAAGGAAATTGTGCTCACACAGACTCGATTTTTAAAGTTCAATTGAATTTTATTCTCTGCTATTTAAATTACTTGTTCTATTTTATCGTGATTTATATAAATTATTGTTTGTTGTGATTAACAAATTATTTAATTTTGTTATATCTTAGCTATTATTCAGTAAGTTATTGTCTACACGGTAAATTGCATATCCGATATTTTAGTTGCATATCCGGTAAGTTGCATATACGGTATGTTAGTTGTATATCTGGTAATTTGTAAATCCGATATTCGTTCACGAATATTTAATCTAACAATTACAACTTCATTAAACTAAATGTCAAACATCATTTTATTGATTGTTATGCCATTGATTTTCATCCGTCCAAGTAATTCAATTAGACGGAGTAGCCTAATTGAAATCAAATTGAAGTATAATTACCCAATTGAACAATATTAAATTAAGTAATTTGGTTGAAATATAAACAAATTATAATTGCTCCATGGACACCCTAAGAGTTTTCACGAATCCAATAAAAAAAATGTTACTTGATTAGAAGTGTTAGAGGTGGACATGTTCTTGTACGTGCTAGCTTTTATTATGGAAATTACGATAGAAAATCTTCTTTTCCTACGTTTGATCTTCGGTTTGATGGGGACTACAGGGCATCGGTCGAGAGTTCGTATACTGGATTCGGAAATGTATAGCTATATTGACGAAAATTGTCCTCTATTTTTGGTTAAAATGGTTGCTTAAGGTGCAAAGCAATCATCAGCTACGGTTTATAGACTCGAATCTTTAATTTAGATCACTAATTATTAAATAATTACGTCTAATTCATGTTTTGAAATTTGAAGATTCTGAAAGAAACTAAAATCTTATTTATTATACCGTTTTACAGATTTTCAAGCGATCTCAGAGTTACAATAGTGAAATTCTTCTACCCTCGCCCGTGATGATTTACTACAATATAAATTGAGGGTTTTTTCACGTGAAAGTATCCATATCGTAAGTTTTCTTAATTTTCACTTTGCGAGCCAGCTTAGTCTCGTAATTTTGTAACAAAGCTTTCACTCACTATTTGAGCATCATACCCTCAATTGTGCATTGATTTTTGTTATTAATTTCCGCAAATCCCAGGCATAAAGATGATTTTTAGATAGAAAATGGATATCTTCAAGAGCTGGTAATAGATTAACTGGAGTAAAATGTAATGCATTCTTTAGTGTATCAGAACTAGCAGATAACCCTTCACCTGCAGTGCTGCTAAATGCAGTTAGTGCAATTAGTTTCCGAATTACTCAGTTGGAAGCAAGCGAAAAACGTTCATTAAAGATTTACATGGACGGCCAGCCTTTCCCCGAGGCAGTGTTACCTCCTCATGAAAATTTTACAGGGTTATATGCCAGTAACATCACTATTTCTTCTAGAACCATATTTTCTCTCAGGCCTACTGAAGACTCGACCCTTCTCATCAACGGCATAGAAGTCTTTTTAATCAGACATGCTCTAACAGATGGATCTGACCGTTTGAAAACCCGCAAGTGAACGGGATCGTGATCAAGTAATATAGTAGTGTGTAGCACGGGCGGACGCAGAACTTTAACTTTGGGGGGCACAATCAAATTTGCAAAGAAGTTGGTAGAATTTTTACAGTCGAAAATTTAAGTCCAAAAAAATC